GGTGCAGGAGTCTTCAGGGAGACGAAGAACTGAAGGTGAAATCTGGCTTATCTGTCTCATCACCTTCAAAGGCAGACACACCTCCAGAGAACGCCACATCCTCCTCTGGTCATTCCCTGCTTGATATCCTTGCTGACCAGGCGCTGGCTCGTGAACAGCCGCTTACTCTTTCAAGGGACTACTTGGCATCTGCCGTTTTCAAACCCTTGGGCTTTGGTTTGGGTGATATAAATCCCACTCTCCCCCCTCCACCACCTCACCCCAGCCCAATCGATTTTCCTGAAAGTCGGGTAACCTTGCCGGAGCTATCGCTGGTTGGAGACGGGAGATCTTAAGGAGCCTCCCAACTCTGAAACGGACAGATTTCATTTGAATATAATCGTATGGCCTGCTGATCCAACATGATTCCTGAAGCATTGTTCAGGCTCGATCGAGTTGTTAAGGATGGAGGATACTTTTGTTGGAGGATACTTTTGTTGGTTTACAGTTCTAAGGTACAGATGAAAAATGTTTCTTCTAGTGCTCTTGCAAAGCTTGTATTTACCCTTATTAAAGATAAATAAAGCTCCATATGTAAATGAGACATTTAATCCAAGGCCTGAAAGATGCAAACTAACATGCACTACATGAGCTGGTTGTGCCATCCTTGGGGGGCCACGGGGTAATCTTCATTTTTCTCACTCCACGCAAAGTTTAAGTATCTGTTTCTAGATCATTGTATGTAAAATCATGGTGCTCATCAACAGTTTTTGCTCTGAAGCCCCTGTCATACCTTGACAATTTAGCCAGCGTATGCAGAGGTCCCAAATCTAAAACTCTGGCATATGCTCAACTTTCTAGGTATTTTTTTCAATTGTGGGCGTATATATGGAGTATTCATAACAAATCCAGAACTTATGTCCAACAACAGCCTAACTTATGCATAGCACAAGCAGCCTAATGCCCATGAAATGTCACAAGCCAATGTCCTGAGGGGGGTCAGCAATGCACCTGGCCTCCATAAAAAGATTTTTTTAGATTGTGGTATTAACCTAGCTGCTGTTGAAATGAAAAGAAAAAGGTTTGCAGCTGTTTTTTATGAAATCTTTTACCCATTGGTCAGGAGGGTTTCATTCAAAAGACTTTATTCTACCAATCTGGAGGTATGAAATCGTTGGTAAATTTAACCTAGTGTCACCAAAAACCACAGCAAAGGCAGGTTAGTTGGGTTTTTTTTCCTTTTAAACTGAAACAATTTAAGGTCATTTTTAATCAAACTAAGTAGGACAAATATAACGAAACAGATTGGCTTGGGTAAGGTAGAGGTATGTAATGTACTCCAGACATTTATGAAAACATTACTGTAAAGGTATAGTGGAGGATGTTCGTTTTTTGGGGTGGATCATTAAGTAAATGGTGCTCCTAATTGTTAATGATTCTGTGACATGTTTATGTAAGGCTGGCCTATGTGCTTGTCCCCATTTTCACTTACTGGTGGTGAGTCTGACATAGTGGAAAAATTGGCTTAATATTATTTCGGAAAGTAAGCTTGTACTTTTAAACCGCATGCACAAGGAGAAATGGGCTTGCATGCTCTTGAATGCGTTTAATAGGCTTCCCACTTTTGGGAGCGGGTACAGGGCTGTGGATTTTATTTTTAAATTGGAGAGGGCAGGTCTTCTAAAAAATTGGAAAAATCCTCCATTATACCTAACATCCAAAAGCAGAATGAACATTTAAACATTTAATTTTTGAGCAAAACAGTCATATAGTCAATGTACCTCACCAAATGGCTCTTTTGAAAGCAAATTATTTTTCTTTTAGGATACAACTTTAGATACAGGTGTTTATCATGAACATGAAAAAGTTGTTCCATTAAAGCAATCCTTTAAAAAAATCATAAACTGATTATTTTTAAAGTGTTTTGATAATTATAACTGGCAACTAATAAAAACAATCCAAACTCGGTATCTCAGAAAATTAGGATATTAAAGATGGTGTCACAATGTAATCTGGTAATTAACCCCACACCTTTTCACCAGAGATGGGAAGTAACGAAGTACAAATACTTTGTTACTGTACTCAAGTAGATTTTTCTGATATTTTTACT